CAGCTGTACAACAGCATGCCACAGTAACTACGGAATCATCGGGGTATGCTGTTTCATTTACACAGCTTGACAGTACAGCTGTCCAACAGTATACAACAGCAGCATCAGGGTATGCTGTCACATTGGCACAGTCTGACAGTACAGCCGTAGAACAGCATACCATAGTCACAACAGCAGGACTCGCTGTACAACGACTCGTCACTACAGCCACAGAACCACATACCACGGTAACAACAACAGCAGAGCATGCTGTCCTCTCGACACAGCCTGACAGTACACCTGTACAACAGCATACCACAGCAACAATAACAGCAGGGCATGCTGTTCCACAGCCTGATGGTACAGCTGCACAACACTATACAACAGCATCTTCACAGCACGCTGTTCCAATGACAGGGCTTGGCAGTATAGCAGTACAGCAGGACACCACAGTAACAACAGCAGCAGCAGCAGCGTCTCAGCATGCTGTTCCATTCACAGAGTCAAACAGTCCGGCTACAGGCCAGTTCACCGCCGTAGCAACGGCAGCAGTGGCACATGCCATCTCTCGAACAGCTGGACAACACAGTACCCCGCAAACAACAACAACAACAGCGTACAGGCACTGTGCCTCAACAGCAGATGCACAACAGCACACCGCATCGGGGCAAGCCGTCCCACCGACAACAATGACATCTGCGGACCACGGGGCCGAACCCACAACAGATGCGGCACGGCGGGAGAGCACAACAACAGCAGCATCATCATCGTCATACCCTGTCCCAACAGCGTCATACCCTGTCCCAACAGCGTCATACCCTGTCCCAACAGCGTCATACCCTGTCACAACAGCGGCAGGCCCTGTCCCAACAGCGTCATACCCTGTCCCAACAGCGGCAGGCCCTGTCCCAACAGCATCATACCCTGTCACAACAGCGTCATGCCCTGTCCCAACAGCGTCATACCCTGTCACAACAGCGTCATACCCTGTCCCAACAGCATCATGCCCTGTCACAACAGCGTCATACCCTGTCTCAACAGCGTCACACCCTGTCTCAACAGCGTCATACCCTGTCCCAACAGCATCATGCCCTGTCACAACAGCATCATACCCTGTCACAACAGCGTCATATCCTGTCTCAACAGCGTCATACCCTGTCCCAACAGCGTCATGCCCTGTCACAACAGCGGCATACCCTGTTCCAACAGCGTCATACCCTGTCACAACAGCGTCATACCCTGTCCCAACAGCGTCATGCCCTGTCCCAACAGCGTCATACCCTGTCTCAACAGCGTCATACCCTCTCCCAACAGCGTCATACCCTGTCACAACAGCGTCATACCCTGTCTCAACAGCGTCATACCCTGTCTCAACAGCGTCATACCCTGTCCCAACAGCGGCATGCCCTGTCACAACATCGTCATACCCTGTCCCAACAGCGGCATGCCCTGCCCCAACAGCGTCATACCCTGTCCCAACAGCGTCAGACCCTGTCCCAACAGCGTCATACCCTGTCACAACAGCGTCATACCCTGTCACAACAGCGTCATACCCTGTCACAACAGCGTCATTCCCTGTCACAACAGAGTCATGCCCTGTCACAACAGCGTCATACCCTGTCCCAACAGCGTCATACCCTGCCACAACAGCGTCATACCCTGCCACAACAGCGTCATACCCTGTCACAACAGCGTCATGCCCTGTCACAACAGCGTCATACCCTGTCCCAACATCGTCATACCATGTCCCAACAGCGTCATACCCTGTCACAACATCGTCATACCCTGTCCCAACAGCGGCATGCCCTGTCCCAACAGCGTCATACCCTGTCCCAACAGCGTCAGACCCTGTCCCAACAGCGTCATACCCTGTCACAACAGCGTCATACCCTGTTACAACAGCGTCATACCCTGTCTCAACAGCGTCATACCCTGTCACAACAGTGTCATACCCTGTCCCAACAGCGTCAGACCCTGTCCCAACAGCGTCATACCCTGTCACAACAGCGTCATACCCTGTTACAACAGCGTCATACCCTGTCTCAACAGCGTCATACCCTGTCACAACAGTGTCATACCCTGTCACAACAGCGTCATGCCCTGTCACAACAGCGTCATGCTCTGTCACAACAGCGTCATGCTCTGTCACAACAGCGTCATACCCTGTCCAAACAGCGTCATACCCTGCCACAACAGCGTCATACCCTGTCCCAACAGCGTCACACCCTGTCCCAACAGCGTCATACCCTGTCCCAACAGCGTCATACCCTGTCACAACAGCGTCATACCCTGTCACAACAGCGTCATACCCTGTCACAACATCGTCATACCCTGTCCCAACAGCGTCATACCCTGTCCCAACAGCGTCAGACCCTGTCCCAACAGCGTCATACCCTGTCACAACAGCGTCATACCCTGTTACAACAGCGGCATACCCTGTCCCAACATCGTCATACCCTGTCACAACAGCGTCATACCCTGTCACAACAGCGTCATACCCCGTCCCAACAGCGTCATACCCCGTCACAACAGCGTCATACCCCGTCCCAACAGCGTCATACCCCGTCCCAACAGCGTCATGCCCTGTCCCAACAGCGTCATACCCTGTCCCAACATCGTCATACCCCGTCACAACAGCGCACGGGCATGCTGGGGCCGCTGCCTCGGGGCAGCAGGGCGCCACGTCCGCTCCGCCAGCGCCGGCACCGTCCCGTGCCGGCGTGCGGCGAGCTTCTACGGCGACGGCGGCGGCATCGGGGCGCGCTGCTCCGCCGCTCTCAGCCGCACAGCAGCCTTCCCCAGTGACAGCAGCAACGCGCAGTGCCGTTTCACAACGGCAGCCCGATGTCGCAGCTGTGCAACAGCATGCCACGTCGGCAGCAGCAGCAGCAGCAGCAGCAGCAGCATCAGGACGTGCTGTTCCAGCACTACCGGCTGTTCGGCAATCTACGCCACCGACAGCAGCAACGATGGGAAACGCCGCGTCAGTGACTGGACCTCGGGGCGGCGTTACAAGAGAGGGCATGGCACTTGCAGCGGCATCAGGCAAGACGGTAGCAGCAGCTGTGCAACAGCAGCGCGCCACAGAAATGGCACCGTGGCACGCCGTTCCGTTGACGCAGCTTCACAGAGGACAGCGCGTTCAGTCGGCAACAGCATCAGGGCACGCTGTCCCACCGACGGAGCTTTGCGGAGCAGCTGTACAACAGCGCGCCGCATTAACGGCAACATCGGGGCATGCCGTCCCGCCACTAAGAGCTGCACAACAATCTTCGCGACTGACAACAGCATCGGGGCGTGCTGTCCCACCGCTAACAGCTGTCCCACAGACAGCAGCTGCTGCTGCTGCTGCTGCTGCTGCAACAGTAGCCACGGGGCATTGCTTTCCACTAAGGCATCTCAACGCAGCCAATGGACAGCAGCAGCCTGCCACAGCACCCGCGCACGCTGTCCCTCTGACACAGCAGGGAGCCGAAAACAGCGTGCGCCACCACACGGCCGGCCCAGAGCCATCTCGGGCCGGCTGTTCCGTCTGTCGGGCTCCTCTGGAGGAGGAGGGTGGCACCGCGGGTGGCACGGCGAGTGGCACGGTGAGTGGCACGGTGAGTGGCACCGCGGGTGGCACGGCGAGTGGCACGGTGAGTGGCACGGCGAGTGGCACGGTGAGTGGCACCGCGGGTGGCACGGCGAGTGGCACGGCGGGTGGCACCGTGGGTGGCACGGCGAGTGGCACGGTGAGTGGCACGGCGGGTGGCACGGCGAGTGGCACGGTGAGTGGCACGGCGAGTGGCACGGGGGGGTGTGGGGCGGCTGTCTGCGCTCGCTGCTTCTCGCACGGCCGCACCGGAGTGGCCCAGGTGAGAGAGCAGGTGACTGGGCATGGTGTGTGGGGGGGAGGAATAGGAGGGAATGATCGATCGGATATAGGATGGTACCAGTAACGTGGGGGGTGGAGTAGGGGTTGTTGCAGGGGTTCACGGTTTGAATGAGGCGGGCCGCCCTGGTCGATACGCGTCGATACGCGGCCGAGGGGACGTCGCCGAAGATCCCCCGGTGAGGTTGCCCCAAAAGAGCAGAGGCGTCACTGTAGCGGATTTGGCAGGTGAGAAAAATGACGCCCCAAATGACTCAATTGGGATTACACAGGTACACAACAAGACAAAGATCCCCCGTGTAGCCTCGACAGACTGTAGGGGCAAGTGCTGTTAGCGAGCAGCGCCTATGAAGGCCGGAACGGCACACGAGGGGGTGGGTGGCCAGCTAAGTCGACCTAGGGGAGGCCCAGGACCGGTTCTGATAATAATCGTCACTGGTGTTGGCCGTGAGCGGGAATCGAACTCGGCTCGCCGGGTCCGTAGCGCAGCGCGCTAACCGCTACACTACCAATACCAATGCCCGCCATTCGCCACATAGTGATGGTGATGTCACCACGGCGTCTGTGTCAGGCTAGGTGCACTTTGAAGCCACGCAGAGACACAGAGCAACAACGTCACCCCCTATTGTGAACCTACCACAGGCCGTGCATGTGAAACAGCAGCAGCAGCAGCGCCTTCCTTCGTGATTACTCCGTAGACGCAGTCGCCGAGTGTCAATCGGATGCACTTTTGCGGCCGTCTGGAATGCTCTTCCTTCCGATATTAGGAAGCCATTGGAGCTATGCACTTTTAAATAATCTAGATTAGCAAACTCACTTCTTTAAAGCTGTTTTTTGTGTTGAGTTTGTTGTCCTTCCCCAGGACCTCCGATTAGCTCAGTAGAGTGCGTACGGTGTGAAAATTTCAGCATTCATACATAGCCTCACACAGAGATCCATAGACTCACGCAGAGACCCATAGACTCAGACAGAGACCCATAGACTCACACAGAGACCCATAGACTCACAGAGAGACCCATAGACTCACGCAGAGACCCGTAGACTCACGCAGAGACCCATAGACTTACACAGAGACCCATTTCTTTACAACTGCTTTTGTGTTTAGTTTGTTGTCCTTCCCCTGCACCACCGATTAGCACCGTTGGCTACATACAGTGCGAAAGAAGTTCAACATACACACTTAGAATCGAGGCTGCGTGATCAAAGCGTCTCGCGTGCTTTCGTTTGTCAGTCTGAGTGGCTTTGCGCCAGCTGCCAGACCGCAAGACATGAGGCCCGGCCACCGCACGGCTACGGGAGACTTGAAGCACAAGGAGTTGGAGGAGGTGCGCAGGAGGAGGTAGTGGTGGTGGTGGTGGAGGCGGCCGCGGCGCAGGAGCAAGGAGGACGGCAGACATGCGAGCGGCACGGCACGGCAGATTTGGCCTCAAACCACGCGCCGAGCCACCAGAGTCACCGATTGCCGAACCACGACGACCAGGAAGCAGTCGCGTCCCATCACCATCAACGACAACACCATCAACATCAGCACCGTCAACATCAACAACACCCTCCTGCTCTGACTCCTCACCTCCGCCGCGAGGAATCGTGGCAGAATCACGGAGGCGCGAGCTTCATTGGCCGGGAGAGGGAGGACGTCGTGGCCCAGGGGGAGATGCAGATCCCACACTTGGCTTCCCTCTACCTCAGCCTGAGGGGCGAGCGGGCGGCTGTGGACGATCATCATCAGCAGCAGCAGCAGCAGCGTCAGCCAACCGTGTGCTTCATTCCCATGGTGAGATACGGCTGTGAGCCACCCCGGTCCAGAGACTCGGCTCCAGGAGACCGAGTCTCAGGTTCGGAGTCCAGAGACAGGGCTCCAGGAGACCGGGTCTCAGGTTCGGAGTCTAGAGACTGGGCTCCAGGAGACCGGGTCTCAGGACTGGAGTCCAGTGACTGGGCTCCAGGAGACCGGGTCTCAGGACTGGAGTCCAGTGACTGGGCTCCAGGAGACCGGGCCTCAGGATTAGAGTCCACAGACAGGGCTCCAGGAGACCGGGTCTCAGGATTAGAGTCCAGAGCCTGGGCTCCAGGAGACCGGGTCTCAGGACTGGAGTCCAGAGGCTGGGCTCCAGGAGACCGGGCCTCAGGACTGGAGTCCACAGACAGGGCTCCAGGAGACCGGGTCTCAGGATTAGAGTCTAGAGACAGGGCTCCAGGAGACCGGGTCTCAGGTTCGGAGTCCAGAGCCTGGGCTCCAGGAGACCGGGTCTCAGGACTGGAGTCCAGAGACTCGGCTCCAGGAGACCGGGTCTCAGGACGGGAGATGTTGTTGTCGTTGTCGTTATTCTTATTCTCGTTGTTGTCATTGTCATCATTGTTGTTTTGCCAATGTCACCAGGACGGGGGGCATTCATGCCGTCCCAGCAGCCCTCCGGCCGTAGCCCGCGGCCGTGACCAGTTGGAGTCCCTCGCCAGGCCGGAGCTGCCGCAGCCGTACTTCGCCACGGCGCAAACCTCCCAGCCGCCGCTCGGCACGCCGCGCCGCACCACCCACGACGACAAACCAGCGGCCGGGGCGGCGGGGCCAGACGTGCCGCCTCCCCGGCCCCACCAGCCGGCCGGAGACACCACGCCAGAGACGCCCACGGCCACCGGGCCGGTCGCACAGCGGCTACCGCCACTGTGTGGTGCTAGGGAAGGGGCGGTCGCACAGGCGGGGCAGCCGCCCGGAGTGACACCACCGAGGTACATGGACCAGAGCGTCTCCGTCACCATCACAGGCCGCTCGCCCGCGATGGTTTTTACCCAAGGAAGGCCGCCCGTGGGTTTGTCACAACCTTCTCAGATCGCAGATCATCATCAACATCACCACCACCATTACAACCATCTTCTACTCGGTCATCACGTAGAGGTCACCGTCTCGCAACCTTCACGTTATCCGCCGAGGGGCCAGGTTACCGCAGATTCTCCGGCCCCTCGGCCCAATGTCCACACGCCAACATCGCTTCCCGATGGGCCGAGCGAGCCGCGGGGCCTCGAGTCGCACCCCTGGTGCCCGTGCCCAGATCCGGAGTCAGGGGCGAGTTGGACGCTAGATTTGGCGGAGCGGCACCACTCGGCGTCGGTGTCCGGCGCCGACTCCGCTCAAGCCGGTGGTCGAGAACCCTGCACGGCAAACGAAAGGTCGACCGAGAGGTCAACTGAAAGGTCGTACGCTGCCAGAGTTTGCTCCGTGATGGTGGAGCGCTCCGACTCCCCTCTCAGCCTGGTGACCGCCGCGAGCCACTCCAGGCTGGCACACGCTGCCGCTGCCGCCGCCGCCGCCGCCACCGCAGAGGAGGAGGAGGGGGAGGAGGAGAAACGGCGCTCGACTTGTCAAACGGTCATCATCTCCATCGACCCCGAGCCACTGATGCAGGGGACGAGTGAGGCATCGCAATTGCAGCAGCAGCTTGATGACGACGCTGTGAATTACATCATGCCCAAGGCAGCGGCAGTAGCAGCATCAGCAGCAACAGCAGCAGCAGTAGCACCGGCGGGGGTACCAGAGACCGTCGCCCGGCGGGACAAGTCTGAGGGCGCCGTGAATCTGTCCACCGGCGAGGGCCGACGGAGGGCCTCACCGGCCCTGTCATCGTCGTCCGCCGGCGGGGGAATGGATCTGAGAGCTGCGGCGACAACGAGGCCGGCGAGGCCACTGGGCTCGGCACCGGACGACGCGTCCGGCAAACCGAGCCGGGAGCCCCTCGGCATCGCCGCCGACCCGGCCGTCGTGAACCTCACAACGGGGCCGTCCTCGCTCGCCGGGCCTTGCGGCGATGATGGCCGCCACCGCCCGGCCGTGCCGCACCTCATGGCGCTCAACCTTGCCCGCGAGTCGACCCGAATCTCCCGCTCCGACCTCGGCGCCCAAGCGGCGGCGGCGGCGGCGGCCAGGGCGCGGGTACCGCCGCTCAGCGTGCTCGTCGACCTGAGCCGGCCCAGGCCCTGCCAGGCGGTGCCGGCTGTGCGCAGGGACCAGCGGCAGACGGCGTCGGCTCGGCCCGTCGACCTGACGGCCGCGAAGACGCCGGGCGGCCGGGGTGGACCCGGCCCCCGCGAGGCCGCCCCCTGCGTCGTCGCCGCGGAGGCGCCAGGGCCTCCGCTGCGGCCGTGCTGTTGGCGGAGCGACGGAGATCGGCCGTGGGCCCCGTACGCTCCGGCGGCGGCCCCCGCCGACGTCAAGGCCGTAGATTTGACGGCGGGCCGGTGGCTGGCAGGTTAGTGGGGTGGTGGCCTCGCTCGCCTGAGTTTTGCTGTGGGACCTCGAAGCCGGTGCTTTCCAACCTCTGTGGACCACTGTGGTCCCTCACACACTAGCTGTGGGCCACCCTTGCACCACCCATGCACCACCCTTGCACCACCCATGCACCATCCATGCACCACCCATGCACCATCCATGCACCACCCTTGCACCACCCATGCACCACCCTTGCACCACCCTTGCACCACCCTTGCACCACCCATGCACCACCCTTGCACCACCCTTGCACCACCCTTGCACCACCCTTGCACCACCCATGCACCACCCATGCACCACTCATGCACCACCCATGCACCAATGGCAATTATTTTTTCAAAATGAAAAAGCAGAACGGTATTATTATTATCTTTTTCCTCTTATTTTTCTCCTTCGTTTCCCTTCTCCTCCTCCCGTATGGACCAATAACAGCAGTTTAAAAGATGCGACGTTAGACGTGTTATCCACCCAACTGTCCGTTCACAAGCGTCCCGTTCCTCCTTTTACGGAGCGAAGACAGCAGCAGCAGCAGTGGCAGCAGAAGCGGCGGAGTGTTTTCACGATGCGGCCGATGGTCTGGGATATCGCGGGCCGCCGAATCTTCGTCGCGCCGTTTCGTGCGTCGGGTGGCCGCTGCGGATCGGCTCCACGGCCTCGGTCCCGGTTCAGTTGTTGGTCGACCGTAAACTCGCCCGATGTCGTAAGCGACCGCGAACAGTTTGCACCGCGCCCGCGCCACCACCGCCGCCGCCAGCGGCCCCACTCAAGGTTTTGCGACCGCTGGTGCCCCTGGTGAAACCGGCACGGTCACGGTCGGAACTCGCAGGCGACCCGTTTGTTCAGCGGTCGTGGGCCCTGGCAAGGCGCGCGTGCTCTGGCTTTTTGTGCTGTGGAGTTTTTGATGCGGGAATGAACGCGTCGGTTTGCGATGAGGGTGCCGATGGGAAGTTTGGGAAGAGTCGAGTCGGTCTTTCCGATGGATCGGTCCAATGGTTGACGATGACGGCGATGGTAATCGGATTTGTTTGCCAGGCAGGAACTGAAATGAAACTAAACTGTGTTTATTTCGCCAGGTAAGGCCCACTGAGATTTTTTCAGAAACTACCTGGCTATCACAAATCATAGCTCAACAAAGTGGCTCATCATCGCGTGACCATTCACAGCAGCCAAACACTCTAAACGCGTGACGTTGTTTCTAAACGTGGAGGGAAAAACCGGAGGACCCGGAGAAGCAGATTTTGATTTGGGGCCAAACAGGGCCAGAGACGGAGCTAATCACTTCCGTCACACGTTGGCACCCAGCCGGTCGGTTAGTAGACTTTGTGACGCCGATGTCCCGCACACGTTCGTTGAGTGTCAGCGGCACGACACGGTTGTGCCAGTGGAAAAAGAAGCGATGGTTTCCCTTCCGCCAACAAGCCACCGGGCTCGCCCACCCCGTGCTTGGTGCGTCTCGCGGAGATCGACGCTCACCACTGCCAGCGACTCGCGCGCGCGAGTGGCTGGCAGCGGTGAGCTCGAGACAGCCCTGCAGTCGTGGCTCCTTGCTGCTCCCTTGCGCTACGCGGCGCTCATCTCACGTTGCGTGCGCCCGCAGCGCCTCGCTCGATCCGCTGCTGGACGAGGGGGCCTCCCTCCGATGCCGAACGGCGGCGGGTCGTGGCGGCTATTATTTTTTTGCGCGCGAGTTTTTGACGAAGCTGTGCGTGAACAAACAGGCGACGGGTGGCGTACGGTCAGGACGCGACCCCCCGCGCCCACCGCCACGACCCGCACGGCATGGGCAGGACCTCATCCAGCAGTGGATCGATCGAGGCGCCCGCAACGTGTACGAGACGGCGTTTCTTTTTTTTTTAAGCGTCCGCTTTCGCGCAGTCGAGCGTCTGACTGGGGGCCGGTCGTCGCGCGGACTTCCGCTCATCCGCGCGGCGCGAACGAAAGCAAAGGTCATCGAACAGAGAAAGTCACGGCATCGCGCCCCTTTCGGTGACGTGGAAGGGAGAGAGAGAGAACTCTCAGGGTTGCTGTCTGCAGGCGCCCCGGCTTCCAGTGCAATGCCCAGCAATGACATTGCCAGCGTCACCAATCTGCGACAATTTTATCGCTCTTAATAAATATATATATATTTTTTACTCAGATTGAACACAAAAAGAAACCTGCCATTTGTGTGAACCGCCTTTGAGGCGTGTTGTTATGTAACGCAGTACAACGCCGCATTCTCCGGATTAGGACGCGTGCTTTTCTCCCCTGTATTTTAAAGCAAAAGTTGTGCAGTGGGGTGTCTTACTACCCAGTAGCTGTGCATGTCTGTGACCGCTCCCTGGGCCTCCCCTAGGTCAACTCAGCCTCAAATGAGTACCTGGTGCAGCGTGAAGTCAAAGGCGGCCGAGCGTAGTGCTGGCCACCCACCCCCCGCTTGTGTGCCGTGCCGGCCTTCATAGGTGGTGCTACTCGCTAACGGCACTTGTCCCGAAATGTCTGCTCAGGCTATACGGGGGGGGATCTTTATCTTTGTGACCAGATCTGTGTACCCACACAGACCTTCACCCCAGCAGTGGCACAGCGGTGGGCACACGACGCGGTGATACCCGGCGACCCGAGGTTCAATTCCCCGCTCACGACCAACAACAGTGGCAAATTATTTGAACGGGTCCTGGGCCTTCTCCCCGAGGTCGACTGAGCCTCAGATGAGTACCCAGTGCGGTTGTGTGAACATCAGCAATTGCCTGATGATGCTGGTTTCAATCGCCAGCGTAGATGTCGTTAACTCAATTTGTAAACGTTGCAGTGGGTTTGCTCTCCAACACACGTGGCAATGCGGTCATGACGCGAACGAAAGCAAAAGCACCTCGTTCATGAATGATATCGGTCGCGGAAGCCTAACCTCTTAAGCCGAACATCACCACTGCTGGGGAGACAAAGGCGGCCGGGCGTGGTGTTGGCCACACCACGGACCTCCGTGTGCCGTGTCGGCCTTCATCGGTGCTGCTACTCGCTGACAGCCACAGTCTGTTACAGGGGAGAGGGAACTTTGTCTTGTTGTTTTTTTTCACCAGAACTGAGTAACTTTATCGACGCAAGGGGGGGAGGCACGAGGTTTTTTTTTTCGCGTCGTGCGTCTTACTTTCTGGAACCGCTAATGTAGTCCGGAGAATGCGGTAACTTGTCCTGGCAGCGTTTATCCCAGCGGCAGTAGTTGCTGTTGTTGTTTAAAAAAAAAAGAAAAATTGTATTTCATGATGCCAACGTTGTGGATTTGTGGTGTTTGCAAAGGAGGGGATGATGGCGTTGGGGGGAGGGGGGGCCCTCTTGCCATGTTGTGGATTGAAATAAAAATAGCAATTTTATTAAAAAAAACCCGTGAAGTATTCAGTTGGCAGAGGGAGTACCCCCCCCATCCCCCTTGAGAAGAGCGTGCGGTGGATTTGCAGTGGTGCTGTGATTGTTATCGTCGATTTTAAACCCAATCGTTGCCAACGCGCAAAGCATGCCAGAGTGGCTGCTACGGGTTCATCAGCTCCGCGGCTGCCGAGTCTACCGTTCGAACACCCAGTTGCGAAACGAAACGAAAGGTCCGTTAAGATTGTTTGGGGCTCTAAAAAGAGGCGTCTCGCGTGTCTGTCAAATCCGCGAACATTGGCACGTGGTTTCAGCAGTTGGCTCAACGTTGGTTCAACGTTCCACTTGGGCTGCCCCCCCCCCCCCAAACCTTGCGTGTGCATTGAACTTCTTACGCAGCGTACATAGCCAACCCCGCTTATCGTTTGGTGCCGAGACGATTGTTTATTTGTGTTATAATCATTGCCAACGCTCAAAGCTCGCCAGGGGGGTGGGGGCGGTCTCCTGTGATCCATCAGCTCAGGCGATTGCCGAGTATACCATTCGAAAAGCCAGACGGGAATCAAGATGGTCCGTGAAGATTGTTCGGGGCTCCAAAAAGAGGCGTCTCGCGTGTCAGGCTACCGGCTCACGTTGGCACGTGGTTAAAACCCCTGGCCCAAAGTTCGACGTTCCGCGTTTACCTGAGCTGCCCCTTTCCCTCTCCCCCATCCCCCCGAAAACCTTGCGTGTACGTGTGTACGTTGAACTTATTTCGCAGCATACGTAGCCAACCGCGCTGATCGGAGATGCGGTGGTGCCGTGATTATCGTTATGTATTTTACAATCGTTGCCAACGCTCAAAGCACGCCAGGGGGTGTCTCCTGCGATCCATCGTCTCTGCTGATGCCCTCCCCTTGCCGTTCAAAAACCCAGACGCGAAGTGAAACGATAACGCGCCGTTAAATCCATTGCTGGATGAGGGCCTTCCGTGGCCGTGGGCTACGTGGGGGGTTTATTTGGCCATACTTCACCACGTTGGCCCTGTGGGTGGTTGGGGAAGGCAGCCGGTGGTGGTGGGTGGGAGGGTAGAGAGACGTGGGCGCGTAAAAGCCACTATACAGCAATGAATTTTGCTGCACGGCTCTCTGCTTCCCACAACAAATACAAAGATCGCCCCGTGTAGCCTCACCAGACCGTTGGGGCAAGTGCTGTTAGCGACCACCTTTGAAGGCCGCCACGACAAACGAGCCAGCGTCACGCCTGGCCGCCATCGTCTCCCGAGTGGCGACGTTTTACACACCGCGTACCAGGCTCTCATTTGAGGCCGAGCCGACCTAGGGGAGGGCCCAGGATCGGTTCAGATAATCGTCACCGATGGTTGGCGGCCGTGAGCGGGAATCGAACTCGGGTCGAACCGGGTTCGTAGCGCAGCGTAGCGCTAAAAGCTGCACCACAACCGCCCTGTGCGCGGTTGGGGAAAGCAGCACCATCCAGCCGCTGCGCCCTGCTGCCCAGATCCACCGCAGCACGTGCCCCCATTGACCCTGCGAGTGTTTAAGCATCTCGCGGGTTCACGGTCTGGCCAATGGTCCCCCTGGCTTTCAGTGCATGCTCGTGAGAGTTGAAGACAGCATCGTGCCGTAACAATGTGCCACCCCCAAACTGGCTGTGGGAATGTAACCGCTACATGGTGTAGTTGTTTTTTTTCCTTTCCCCCCGCCCCGCCCCCCCCCCCCCCACCACCACTCATCAGATATGAGTGAATTTTGACCGGAAATAAATCGGTATACCACTGAACCTGTTCCTCTTTCTTTCTCTTTGTCCTGAATCCCCCTGGATCTGAATCGCGGGCGTTATCACTTTGGTCCATAATGTAGGTTTTTTTGGGTTAGATCACGTGAATATGAATGTGTCAATAAACCCACCACCAGCACCACCCGACCAATTCGTTACGAGTACAGCACCACCGGCTGTGTGTTGCAGAGTAAAACCCACGACAACATTTACAATTGGAGTAGCCGTGACGTTTCGCCGGTAATGACAACAACAACAAAAGCAGCAGCCAGCATCATCAGGCGACAGCCACAGAGTTGTGGTAGAAATTCTTCTGTTTCGGTCTTAAATAGACGAGGGGGCGGGGGGGATAAATGTGATGTCATCACTTGTGAGCCAATCAGGTACGAAGACCAGAGGAGGGGGGGGGGGCTCAATGCAGTCATATAAATTATTATGGCTAATAAAAATAACCTCCATTATTGATATATAAATTACAATGGATATCCTTTATCAGACCCGACTGCAGAGTTAGGTGGGTCATAAAAACCTGGACTTATCAGCGTATGACTTTTTTTAATTTGAGGACATGAGTTTCTGACTGACCAGGTTTGGAGGGGAAGTCAAAGGCCCAACTAATGTTGTCAGGGTTTAGGATTTGCGTTCATCGATCCATGTTGGGTGACCAAAAGCGCTGGCAGCCTTCTCCAAGGTGTGGGAAGATCTTGAAAAAGTAAGCCTCGGCATAGAAACTAAAAACTAAACTGCCGAACGACATTTGTTTTTATTTTACCAGGTAAGGCCCCACTGAGCTCTTTTTCAGAAGCGACATTGGCTGTCACAAATAGCTCAAAGAAGTGGCTCACCACGTGGAAATGTATAGCAGCAGCAAAATACTCTTAAGCGGAGGGGGGAAAAAACCCGAGGACCCGGATAAATAATCTACGTGAACATGGGGAGAGAGAGCATGCAAACCCAAAACACACAACAGGCGTCAGGGTCGGGATCGAACCCACGGCATCCTGTAGACCAGGCGAGGGAGATAACATCTCGCCGCCATAGGCCCAGAGCCCGGAGCAGAACTTTGGCTTCTCAGCTGATCTGGCATCGAGGTGGGTCAAGGCGTTTTTTTTTGCGTTCGATATGTCCATCCATCCGTAACGTGGGGAGCGGGTTGGGGAGGGAGGATTGTACCTGGCACCAAGATGATACGAGCCTGCGTTATGAAGTTGTGCCACTGACGGGGGGCTCGCGCCATTCAAAAACTATTTGAATTGAGCGAAAGGGGGTTACCGCACCTTTGGAGGCCCTACCGGAGCAAAGGAGGACTTTGCAAATGAGTAAACGCGCTTTTGGCCCTGAAGCCGAGTTGGTGTTGTGTAACCATGCAGGTGAGAGATCAAAGATCGAACGAACGAACAAACAACCGAACCAGCGACCGACCGACCGAATAACGACCGAACGAACATCGTCGAGCTCGTCCACTCGTCAAACCTTCCCCTCCCCCCCCCCCCCCCCCCCCCCGAGCCGTCTTATCACCTGCCTCTCTCTTCCTTCCGCAGGTGGCCGCTCATCTGCGTGGGTGACCTGCTGCCCGATTAGCGCGCGGCCCACCAGCAGGCGTGCCGCCAGCGCCCCCGTGGCGGCCGTGCTTCCCATCCACGGTCCCCCGCGGCGGCCGCACAGCGGCGGCCGCCCACCGGCGCGGCCGACGCGACAGCCGCGTGTCGCGCCAATGGTTTCGTGCGGCGTCTCCACTTGATCCCGTTGAACTCATTTTCTGTGTTTGTTTTGCCAGGTGTAAGGGCCCAACCTGAGCTCCGTGTGGCTCTTTTTCGGAAGCGACCTGGAGGGGGGGGGGGGGCTATCGCAAATTATAGAGGCTGATGATCATCATCATCGTCGTCATCATCGTGTGGAAATGTAAAGCGGCCAAATAATCTAAACGCGTGTCGATTCCACGGGAAGAACATGCAAACTCCATATATACAACAGGTGTCAGGGTCGGGATCGAACCCATGACCCCCGAAACACGAGGCGAGGTAGATTCTAAAATGTGGAGGGAACAACCGGAGGATAAGCCGCTTCGTTGGGCTATCATTTGTGATAGCCAGGTCACTTCTGAACAAAAGAGCTACACAGCGCAGTGGGTCTGACAATAAAACATAATTATTCTTAGCTCTTTCGGTAAAGTCACGTTGAAGGGAAACAATAAAATATATATATAAAACAATACAAATTCTCACGACGTTTCGATTACAACACAAACGGTCGTCATCAGGTGTGTCGGTTCGATTTAATTAATTTATTTTTAAAGGTGTATTTATTTTTAAAAAACGTCAGCGCCACGCGCAGCGATTTGGCAGTTTATTTAGAAGGACTAGTCCATCTATGTTATGAAAAGAGGAGGAGGGAGACGAAAAAATTAATGTATGCTGTCTGAAAGCCACTGTAAGCCTGAACAATCAATTAAGACCTGAAATGGTTGATCAAATCTTTCCAATGATTGCTAAGCCAGAATCCATCTTCTCGGTTGAAATTGTCTCTGTGCTTGTATATGTGGATAGCCTCATGAACGAATCTCTCATGGTAGCCAGATGGCTTACAAAGAACCTCTGTCTTGGAAAAGTCAACGTCATGTGAGCCTACAGAATTATAACAATGATCTGCCATGGCCGAGGTGTTGGTCCTATCGTGTTTAAGGTCTGCTTTGTGTTCATGAATGCGGTCCGAGACATGGCGTTTGGTTTCTCCAATGTAACTACTACCACAGAGGCAACTTAGTTTGTAGACACCAGGGTACTGTATGTCAGGAATAACATATTTTACAGACGGAACCAGATCACGGATTTTATGTAATGTGTTGAAACGGACCTGGATCTTGTGTTTATTCAAGATTTTGGAGATCTTTTTTGTGATCCCCGCAATGTAGGGTAAAGTGATGGTCTTGAAAGGCTCCTCAAGAGGGTCCTTCTTCATGGTTTGAGTGATAGCTTTGCGGATTGTATAGTCGGAGTAACCATTAGCCTTAAGAGCTTGGTGTACGTGCTTGAGTTCACTGCCTATGTGTTCCTGGTCGGATATGCATTGGGCTCTATGATACAGAGTCTTGATGAGATAATTCTTCTGTGATGGATGGTGGTGGGAATCCGGTTTCAGATAAGCATCCGTATGGGTAGCTTATTATTTTATTGTTTCCCTTCAACGTGACTTTACTGAAAGAGCTAAGAATATGAATTACTGCAGTCACGAAAGCTTTAAATAAAAAAATAAAACCTAAGTTCATAGTTTTATCAGCTTCGTTTCTATACCTCAAGTTACCAGCGGGTCCGGCATGCGACGTCGTTGCTCCCGCGGCTCGCTCGATTGCGGTGACTCACGCCGTCGCTGTCAACAAATCCGCGTGCACGTTTTAAGTGCTGATCTGGGTGACACGTCACCAGCCATGATCTATCCACCGCTGGATGTACAGTGCAAAGCATTATTACCATTCGCGCATTAAATACTGCCCTGCTGTAAACATTGGCACGTGGTTAAAACCCCTGGGCCTAAAGTTGGTTCAACGTTCTACGTTTACCTGGGCTGCCCCCTCTCCTCCGCAAAACCTTGAATGTACATACGTAGCGACTTCTTTCGCACCGTACGTAGCCAACCGTGCTAATCGGAGGTGCGGGGGGGGGGACAACAAACTAAACACAAGAAGCAGTTCTAAAGAAATTAGCTTGTCAATCTAGATGATGATTTGAAAGTGCATAGCTCCAGCGGCTTCTTAATATCGGAAGGAAGAGCGTTCCAGACGGCCGCGGAAGCGCATCCGAAAGCGCCGCACGATGCGGTGACCACCGTCTTTGTTCGACGGTTAGCCAAAAGCCGCTGCCGCCGCTGCTGCCGCCGCTGCTGCCGCTGCTGCTGCTGCGAGGATGACCCCGGAGTCCGCGTGATGATGGTTTATCCTCCTTGACGAGATCGGCAGCAAGGCATCGCCGTTTAATTTTGCGGCAAGCACTTTGCGCGTGCCGGCTTAACCGCCAGCGCCGTGGGCGAATACAAATCTCAGGCGACAGGTGGGCACAGGGCAAGGTACCAAAAAACAAACAGATAAATACTTTACTGGTTTGCAATGATCGGTCGCGACCAGTCGCGCGATACATCTCCGTGACCGAGCGCGGCGGGCTCCGTAAACACAGCGAACGCGTTCGGCAAACCCAGCCGTGGACGAGCACGCTCAGCTGGGCCCCCTCGGCGTCCCTCTCTCACTCTCTCTCGCTCTCGCTCGCTGGCACGCGCAAACCCGCGCGCTCACGCGCCCCAGCCACGCACGCACTCCCCCGCACGCCAAGGCGGGCAAAGGCTGGCGCCCGCCGTCACCGGCAACGCATTTACTGCGGGGCGACCCGGGTTGGAACGGCTGATGCTGCGACGTCGAATCGCAAGCGCGGTCTGCCGTTGATTGCAGCATCCTCGTGGCGCAAGGCAATCACGAAGGCGCTGCTGGGTCTCACTTGGTGAGTAAAGATGCGTTTTTTTTTTACTACCGGAATTAATTTTGCGGGTCAATTTTTTGTTTCTTCTTCTTCCAAAAATTGGATCCCGATTGTGGGCACACGTGATCTCCTCTCTTTCGAAACGTCACGGGCGTCTTTTGACGTCCAACGTGACGCGGACGGGCGTGCGGTGGGGGTCACGGTTAATACACCTGCACGCGGTATTGACCAGGTTGGTTCACACAGGGCCTCCGTTGCAGAGCGGCCAATGAGCAGCTTTGTTGCAAACTCTGTATTGAGCGGCGGTTGGTCGACTACCTTTGGGCAGTCACGTGACCTCTCCACCTGTGGTTCTGATTGGAAGCTGCTCGTTTCGTGTGCCAGTGTGAAACCTGGCATCGTTTGAAGTGTGGATTTCGAGGTCATGAAGCCCTTCAGTAGCCTCTGTCGGTGGTTGTACTCGAATTGAACAGGTGGGTTTTGCCCCTCCAAAACACCGGTGTGCTTTACTAGAAACGAATTGGCATGTTTTGTTTACGTGACAAACCTTGCTAATTGGCTGTGTCGAGTGGTGGCGGGTTTAGCAACACGTTTATATTTACTCCATCTAACCCAAAAAACTTTTATTGTGGTTTGGTTGGGCCGTCAGTGATGTTGCCCGTGAGGCGGTGGCGCGCAGAGGCGGGGGGGGCAGTTGTTGGATGGTGCGATCGATGGTTTGGCACCACCGCAGTGACATTGGAACCTGACATTCCCATTTGTCTACTCGAGGGGGTGGGCAGCAGCTATCGCATTGGTCCAGATTTGGGCAACTTTAGACTTAAAAAAAAATGTTAATTACAAAACAAAATTCGCCACAGCAACCATTGTTGCCGCCATTGCGCTAACATTGCACTTTCGCATACCATGGCCTTCGATCTTACCCAGGCTGCGTTCGAAGGGCAGCACGCAGCGCTCCGGAGCGCATTTGTTTTGTCGTCTCTTGAACGGCCCTCTGTGAGCAGCATCCCAGAGCGCACCGTCGTACAACAGCAGCCAACGGGTTCGCGGAGCCGCCTCCGAATGAGCGTCGTTTTTAGGTGGGCCGAGTCACAACCCAGCCAATGGAAGAAGGCGATTGGCCTGGGCTCGCGGGGGGGGGGGGTTGCGCGTGCGCTCATTGGCCGAGCCTGCGCGTGACGTCACAACGCAGCGGCTCGTTAAAGAGCGCCGCACGGCAGCGCCAACGCAAGGGCGCTCTGCCCGCCGACCGCAACCCCCCCCCCCCTTTGTTCGCGTTCCCTCGCCTTAACAGCTCTGCTTCAGTAGGTGCCATTACAAATAAGAGCCTTGTGTATATATAAAAAAATATATATAAAATACTAGACCTGGGATAAACGGTCACAATTTGGGGGCGGGGCGGGGAGGCGCCATTTGATTCAAGAAGCGATTCTTTTGCGTTCACTTTTCACCGTCTCGTTTGTCAGCGTTTCCCATTTCGTCCCGTCCCATTTTGTGCGAGCGTCAGTTCGCCCCGGTCCGAAGGGTCAAAGGGGACGACACGGAGCAGCGGCGCTTCCTTGGACGCCTCCGCGACTCCATCGTCCCTCCCTCAAACCCCCGACCATTCCGATGCCCTGCTGCGGTCTAGCCACGAAACGGGGACGTCCCCGGTGGCAGCTGTCCCTGTGCGGCACTGGGTGCTCGCAGCAACGGGGGCGGGGCAGGGGGTCGACGCTGCGAATAATTTTTGCGATAAATGTATCAACTGTGGCAAAATTGGTGTAAACGTGAGGCTGTGGTATAATTTTCATGGATGGGAATCTATTCTAAACTATTACATTTTTTTTATTTTAACAGGTAACACCCCACTGAGCCACATAGGTCTTTTGCAGAAGCCAAATGATAGCTCAACGAAGTGGCTTGTTATCATCACGTGAAAATATATACCGGCCAAATAAATTGATTCTAAATGTGGAGGGAAACACCAGAGGACCCGAAGAAAAATCCACGCTAACCACAGGGAAAGAGAGAATCTCCAAATATACAGCAGGTGTCAGGGTCGGGATCGAACCCACGACCTCCTGCGTACCAGGCGAGGCAGTTAATATCTCCTAGCCACCGAGACGCTAACTACAATTCTGTGCACATATCGAGAGCGTAAGAATCGGACTTCGAGAAAAATAATTTGCGCCGTTACTTAAATCAAACGTCAGCCGCCCCCCCCCCCCATTCAACCCCCCCACCCTCACGTGGTGAAGATGGGAGTCACAGGACGGAGTGAGGACGTAGGAGGGAGAGGTGAGAGGGGTGATGATGGTGGATGGGTGGGTGGGGTGGATTAAGTGCTTCATGTCAACGATAGTGCTGCCACGTCGCGCGGGCTTGATAATAATTACAACAGCGACGACGACGACGACGATAATAATAATTATACACGTATTATAATAACAATAAGGTTCTACGGAATGTACGAGGAACGTTCATCGCTACGTGGATTTGCTCTTGCCTGGAGCTGCGTAAGCAACTTGGCAGACAGCAAGTAGGGGAGAAGAGGTGGCCAACGTGAAGGAGTGTTTGTGTGCGTGTGCTCGCTCACAGCACTTGCCCCCAACGGTCTATTAAGGCTATACGGGCGATCTTTGCTTTGTGCGTGTAAGGAGCGGTGGCGCAGCGGTTAGCGCACTGCGCTACGAACCGGAGTTCGATTCGCGCTGACGGCCAACACCGGTCATGATTATCTGAACCGGTTCTGGGCCTCCCCTAGGTCGACTCGGCCTTTAAATGAGCGGACGCTGTCGCGTGTAAACGTCGGCGCACTGGGCGCACGTGGTGCTGGCCACACCATCCCCTTGTGCGCCGTGCCCGGCCTTAATAGCTGCTGCTCGCTAACAGGCACTTGGACCCAATATGTCTGTTTAAGACTACACGGGGGATCTTTGTCTTTGTGTTGTAGCTGCGAGTGAGCGCGTCTATCTACGCGTGCCTGTGTGTGCGCTGCCAGCAGTAGTGTGATGCAGTGGTTCACACGCACAGCGACACAAACCCAGCAAAACGGGGTTCGATTCCCAGCCAGGGTCCGACACCCAGCCAGGGTCTGACATCCAGCCAGGGTTTGATACCGAGCCGTTGTGGCCTAAACCGGCGCTCGTGGCTCTGCAATTCTGCACGGCCGGGCGGCGGCCGGGGTGGTGGGGTAGGGGGTGGTGGGGTAGGGGTTGTGGGGTAGGGGGTTGTGGGGTAGGGGGTGGTGGATCTTCGTGAACGGTCGCTGCGGGACTTCAGAACTCGGTGGCGGGAAGGTGGAGTCTCGGCGCGAGCCGTGCGGTGCTGTCGGCGGTGCCCGGCACCACCACCACCAGCTGCTGCTGCTGCTGCAAGCGCCGCACGTGGCACGGGTGGCACAGGAGGTGTCCCGCCAGGGGGTAGCAGCGCCGGGTGGAGCCGTCGTTGAGTGGCAGCCCGCAGTCCTGGGTGGTGGGGGGAGGGGGTTGGGGGTTAGGAGGTCGGTGAGGGGTGGGGGACGGTTGAGTTAGGGGGTGTGGGGTACGTGGGGGTCACGGGGTCAGAGATGCGGGAGAGGCGGTGGCGGGCAACGGGAGCCGCGAGGGGTGCCGTGCTGGCTAGGAGATGTTAACTCCCTCGCCTGGTCTGCAGGAGTTCGTGGGTTTGATCGCGACCCTGACGCCTGCTGTATATTTCCCGTGGTCACATGGATTTTTCTCCGGGTCTGCCCGTTTTTCCGTCCACATTTAGAATCAACATCACGCGTTCGGAGTATTTGGCTGATGATAGTCCACTTCCTTGAGCTATCATTTGTGATCGCAATATCGCTTCTGAAAAAGAGCTGTATAGCTCAGTGGGGCCTTAACCTGGTAAAATAAAAACTAGTTTAAAGTTTAACTCAAACTCGCTAAACTCCAAATCGGCAGGTCACGAGGTCAAATCCCGACAGGAGAGCGAGCTCAGGGCATCGCGCATTGAGGGCTAAAGATCGCTGTGTGGGATCTCAAACAGTGATTGACCCGATGTGGACTTTCCTTGGACTGTGAGATGAAGAAAAGAGTGAAGGGGCGAGCGAGGAGACAGAAACGCTTCAAATTGTGCTTTTGGCCACCCGGCGCTCTGCTCATCGTTAATAATAATTTAAAAAATCTAACTCGAGGTGAGGAGCTCTCTCACCTCGCAGTGGTAGCACTCCACGTGGTAGTCTCTGTCCATGGACACCACCCGGATCGTCTCCTCCGTGCCCTGGACGCGCAAAGACAAAGATTTACCCCCTGTGCCTTGCCATGTAGCCTCAACAGCCTGTCGGGGCAAGTGCCGTTAGCGAGCAGCAGCAGCAGCATCAACAGCAGCAGCAGCATCAACAGCAGCAGCAGCATCAACAGCAGCATCAACAGCAGCAGCAGCGGTGGCGGCAGCAGCACCTACAGTGGCTGGCGCTGCGCGCGTTGTGAGTGCGGTGGGCGCGGTGAGCGGCGAGCGGTGAGCAGCAATTGGTGAGTACCAAGCCATGAGCGGTGAACGCGGTGCGGTGAGCGGCAAGCGGTGAGCGGCGAGCGGTGAGCGGTGAGTGCCAAGCCGTGAGCGGTGAGCGCGGTGCGGTGAGTGGCGAGTGGTGAGCGGGTGAGTGCCAAGCCGTGAGCGGTGAGCGCGGTGCGGTGAGCGGCGAGCGGTGAGCGGTGAGTGCGGTGGATCTCACCTGAGCGGGGAGGATGGGCCCGCCGCAGGCCGCACACTTAGGGGCGAAGGCCCTGTTGGAACAATAGGGGTAGCAAGCGGCAGCAGCAGCAACAGCAGCAGCGGATGTTGTTCGTCGTCATCGTCACGCTCGGTCGTGATCTATGCACTGCTGGACGCGGGCCTCGCCAGGCCGCGTCTCGCAGTCTCAGCGACGCAACAATCCGCGTCGAGGATTCAGCCCACTGGCTGGTTTCATCGTTCCATCTCCACGGTGGGATGGCCTCTCCAGCGCACTCCCTGGCCGGTGTTTGGGGTAGCGCATGCGGGCGTGGTGCCGGCCACCCACCCACCCCCCTTGTGTGCCGTGCCGGCCTTCACAGGTGATGCCTAACAGCACTTTCTCCAAAAGTTTGTTAAGGCTATTTGGAGAGCGGTGGTGTAGTGGTTAGCGCACTGCGCTATGAACCTGGTCACCCGAGTTCGATTCCCGCTCACGGCCAACACCGGTGACAATTATTTGAACCGGTCACAGGTTGACTCAGCCTCAAAGGAGTACCTGGCGCGGTGTGTAAATTTCACCACCGGCGGAGCCAAAGGCGGCCGGATGCGGTGCTGGCCACCCACCCCCTCGTGTGCCGTGGCGGACCTCATAGGTGCTCCCTAACAGCACTCTGCCCCTATATTCTGTGAAAGGCTATACGGGGGATCTTTGTCTTCGATAGGGCATGCTGGTTCCAGTGGTGTAATGGAAGACGTTACTAGTGGTGTGAGTGTACATAGGTGGTGGGAGTGCGAGCTGGCACTGGTGGCAGTGCTGGTATGGGGGTAGTGTAGGTACCGGTGGTAGTGTGGGTACCGGTGAGAGTGTAGGTACCGGTGGGAGTGTGGGTACCGGTGGTAGTGCGGGCCGGTACCGGTGGTAGTCCCGCACGCAGTAGATCTTGTTGGCGACGTCGACGGTGAAGGGAACGCCGTCCAGGCACTCGTTGCACACGACGCAGCGGAAACATCCCGGGTGGTAGGCCCGACCCAGCGCCTGTAGGATCTGCGAGGGCCACGCGGGCATTCGATTGGGGGGGGGGGGGTGGGGGCGAAACATCGGACGACGCGTGGCACGACCCGCAGTTACGCTCGCGCAATACACTAGTGACACACACGCAACACAAGCACGCAACACGCGCTCATGAACAGTCCGATCCACAGGCTGGCACACACAACGCCAAAGATCCCCCCTGGGGCAGCGAGGAAGCAGCACCTATGAAGGTCGGCACGGCGCACGAGGGGGCGGGTGGCCAGCACCACGCCAGGCCGCCTTTGTCTCCCCGCCGGCGATGTTTACTACGCACGGCACACCGGGTACTCATTTGTGGCCGAGTCGACCTAGGGCGAGGCCCACGACGGGTCCGGATAATTTAATTATTATTATATATAATTATAATATAATTAATCGTCACCGGCGTTGGCCGTGAACGGGAATCGAACTCGGGGTCGCCGGGTTCGTAGCGCGGCGCGCTAACCGCTGCGCCACCGCTCCCCCCCACTCCACACACCTGGCCCCCCACCCCCCGACCCACTGCTCACCATCTCCATGACGAGGTGTCCGCACACAAAGCACTTCTCCGCCGACTGCTGGAAGCCCGAGTACTGCGCGGAGTGGGAGGCACGCGGCACGCGCTCGGTCAGGGGGGGGGGGGGGGGGGGGGGGCGGAGTCAAGCAATGACGTGGAGACGCCGCAACGACGCGGAGACACCGCAACGACGCGCTTGAGTTAGTGGCCACCGGTGTGCTTCAGTGTGTATAGTGGTACACATCGGTGTTTACACTGGTGTTTACACACCGATGTGTTTACACACTGATGTGTTTACACACCGGTGTGTTTACACCACTCCCTTGCACCGGTGTTTACACTGGTGTGCAGCAGTGTGATGTTTACACCAGTCGTGTGTACACACCGCACTGTTGTACACCAGTGTAAACACCGGTGTATACATGTTTCACCGCTTAGCACGGTTACTAAGTTCAAGATATATACGGTATATTTTAAAATAAAAATGTATGTTTTTTGGCAAACTTTTTAATTAAAAAAAATATACAATTGTCGTGGTCGCAGGATTTGGGTGGGATGGGCGGGAGTGCAATAATCACCCCTCAATGTCTGCTCCACTCCCCTTGCATCGACCAGGGAGAGTGTCCTATTGCTCGGGCCTAAATACGTCTCGGTTAAATGCTAAAACTAGAAACTATTTTCTATGTTACCAGGTAAGGCCCCACTGAGCTCAGTAGCTCTTTTTTCAGAAGCGGCCGCCTGGCTACCCCAAGTGATAGCTCAAGGTCATCAACGTCATCACCATGTGGAAATTTCTAGCAGCCAAGTAATCTAAACGCGTGATGTTGATTTCGCGGGGAGAAGACACAAACTCCAAATGTTACAACAGGTGCCAGGGTCGGGATCGAACCCATGCCCTCCTGCATACTAGGCGAGGTAGATTCTAAAATGTGGAGGGAAAAGCCGGAGCATAAACCACTTCGTTGGGCTATCATTTGTGATAGCCAGGTCGCTTCTGTAAACATCTCGCCACTGTGATATGATGAGAGAGACACAAACTCAAGATATACAACAGGTGTCAGGGTCGGGATCGAACCCACGACCTCCTTTATAGCAGGCGAGGTAGTTAACATCTCGCCCAAATATCTACTCGACCCTGCAGGTGTTTGGGGAAGCCAGGGGGATGAGGAATATCCAGTAATCATGGAACGTTACGACTAACGTTGGCCCAACGTTCGCCCATTGGTTTCAACCACGTGCCAACGTCGGCCCAACGTTGGCACGTTTACTGGGCAACAGGCCGTGGCTGCCCTTACCAGGTAGTCCTCCTCGCAGTACGCCCGGCCGTGCACGCTGTAAAACGCCTTCCCTCGCAGAGCACGTCCTGTGGGATTCACACGCACACGCAACCGTGTTTATGAACTGTGTATACGCCTTGCAAGCATGTTGAACTTCGTTTGCACCATACGTCGCCAATCGTGCTAATTGGAGTCGCGGGGGAAGGACCACAAACTAAATACAAAATAAGTTCTAAAGAAATGGGTCTCTGTGTGTGTCTATGTGTCTCTGTGTGAGTCTATGGGTCTCTGTATGAGTCTGTGGGTCTCTGTGTGAGTCTGTGTGTCTTTGTGTGAGTATATGGGTCTCTTTGTGAGTCTATGGGTCTCTGCGTGAATCTATGGGTCTCTATGTTGTGAGTCTGTGGGTCTTTGTGTGAGTATATGGGTCTCTGTGTGAGTCTATGGGTCTCTGTATGAGTCTGTGGGTCTCTGTGTGAGTCTGTGGGGCTTTGTGTGAGTATATGGGTCACTGTGTGAGTCTATGGGCCTCTGTGTGAGTCTCTGTGTGAGTCTATGGGCCTCTGTGTGAGTATGTGGGTCTCTGTGTGAGTCTATGGGTCTCTGTGTGAGTATATGGGTGTCTGTGTGAGTCTATGGATATTTGTGAGAGTCTATGTGTCTCTGTGTGAGTCTGAGTCTCTGTGTGAGTCTGTGGGTCTCTATGTGAGTCTATGGATATCTGTGTGAGTCTATGTATGTTGAACCTCTTTCGCACCGTACGTAGCCAACCGTGCTTATCAGAGGTGTGTGGGGAAAGGATAATAAACTAAACAACTCTCCACTCGTATAATCTATATCCATCGTACAGTTCCGGATGATCCTCGTAGCAAAAATGGCTACAAATGTAGTAGTAGCTACGGGCCCCGCACTTTCAAGTGCCCCGCGCTAAATACTTTCAAGCTACCAACTCCGGTTCGGCGATTCTGCACTTGCTCTATTACTATAGTACTATACTGCCTTCGACTTTTACGAACAAACCGGGTGTTTAAGGTGAGCGATTTGTCGTATTATCTGGCTGTATAGCAAATGAAAAAATACAATTACTTTACTATGCGAGTAAAAAAATTAGTATCTTAATATATTTTTCATCAAGGGCCCCTTTATAACATCATGCTACAGGCCCCGCACTCGCTTCATCCGGCACTGCCATCGTATATGCACACGCGCGATGCGACGCGTGGATTGCGCACGAAATCATCGATGCCATCCTCGTTGGACAGCGCCTTGCGCAGCGGAGATGTTTGCTTCCTCTGGTACGCGTCTGCGTGTGTGTGTACGTGTGTGTGTGTATACGTGTGTGTGTACGTGTGTGTGTACGTGTGTGAACGTGTGTGTATGTGTGTTGGTACGTGTGTGTACGTGTGTGTGTACGTGTATGTGTACGTGTGTGTATACGTGTGTGTGTACGTGTGTGTACGTGTGTGTGCGTGTACGTGTGTGTGTGTATGTGTGTGTCCAGCAAAACAACCCCCTACCTCCTCGCGGTACCGGACGGGCAACTCTGTCGTGAACAGTGCTGTGGGGGGAGGTCCAATTCCGATTGGCTCCTCCCCTCATGGCGTCTGTGACCACCACAGTGGCTAAACGGGAGCTCTAGATGGGTGCGAGGGGCTGGTAACCCCTCCACCTTAAAAAAATTACCACTAAACCACGTATAAAATATCTAACTAATAAGCTTGTGCCGGAGGCACCGGGGGGACAGGCGTCTATGACGTCTCCTGGCCAAACCCCAATTGGCAGAGCCAGGAGATTGAATCTCTAACCTCGGGGCTCCTCCAGAAACAACGAAAAGCCACTATGTGTGGCCACGTGGAATGTTCGAATGCTCACTGCGGAGGAGAGGCTGCCACTCCTCTGTCAGGAGCTGGACCGGTACCACCTGGATCTCTGTGGCATTCAGGAGGTCCGGTGGACCGGTTATGGCTCCTGTCATCATGAGGGGTGGACAGTCCTCTACTCAGGGCAGCAGACTGTCAAACAACAGGGTGTGGCTCTTCTTATGAACAAAAGAATGAAGGGGGCGTGGGAGCGTAGGCGGTGAGGTGTGGGAAGCTGTAAGCCCCAGGCTACTTTGGGCTCGCCTTCCCATCAATCGGAAGCGAGGAGTGGTGGTCGTGGTTACTTATGCCCCCACCGAAGGCGAACATCCGTGGAAGGATGCAGGCAAAGCCGATTAGTGAGATGCCTTCTATGACCTCCTGTCACAGGTGCTGGCTAAAGTGGCCCCTCGGGATAGAGTCATCTTGTTGGGTGACTTCAATGCCCGAGTGGGTCATGATGCTGGCACCTGGTTTGGAGTGATTGGCGGGGCCAGATCAGCTCAATAACAACGGTAGGAGGCTGCTAGATTTTTGTGCAGCCCATGGGCTTGTAATTACCAACACGCTGTTCCGGCATCAGCGCATCCACACAACATCATGGATGCATGCCGGGTCCAAGCAAGAACATCTGCTGGACTACATTGTGATGGACCAGCGGATGCGAGCCCATGTCCTTGACACCAGGACCTACCGTGGAGCTGATCTGCCCTCTGACCATCGACTTGTCATCTGTAAGATGCACCTGCCATTCTTCCGCTCCGGTGGTGGGTGTACACCCAGGACCCCATTCCAACCTAAAGTGGCCTGGCCTCAGTTATCTGATGAAAGTTGCAAGCGAGAATTCCATCATCGCCTGCGGCTGCGGTTGGCATCGTCTCCCACTCCTCCGGATGTCGAGGGTAAATGGGCGAGGTTTAGGACTGTCACTCATGCAGCTGTATTGCCTGCATTGGGTATGCGGTCCAGACCTCCCCAGAGACCCTGGCTGACAGAGGAGGTGTTCAGGATAGTTGAGAAAAAGCGACAGGCCCACTATCATCAGCTACAGAATCCCACATCAGAGAATGAGGAGGCTTACCGCAGCCTTCGCTCGGAGTTTCGGAGAGCCATGAGGTGCTGCAAGGATGGGTGGTGGTCGCGGGTTGCTGAGGAGATGAGTCTGCCTCAGTGGCCCGCGATCACAAATCTCTATTTAACTCCAAAAAAGTAACCTGCAGCGCCACACCTGTTATCATCATTAGGGGAAAAAACGGTGATCCAATCTCCGACCCCCAGGAACAGGTTTGTAGATTTGCTGAGCATTTTTGTGAGGTCCTGGGGGAGGGAAAATCCCTCAGCCAGGAAAACATCGTGGCACAAAGTGAGGATGACCCTGCTGAGGCTGCGGTGCCTCAAATATTGGAAGAAGTCACCCCCTGTGAGTGGCTGGCTGAGGTGCCATCTGTTGAGGATATACTGAAGGCGATCCGGAGTCTGAGACCAGGAAAGGCAGTGGGCAGAGATGATCTCTCAAGCGAAATGCTGAGGGAGGGTTGCATTTGTGCACAGACTGCCCTATATGACATCATAACAACAGTCTGGACCACTGGACAGGTTCCGCAGGATTGGAAGGATGCCCTGGTGGTCCCCCTCTTTAAGAAGGGGGACTGCACAGACTGTACAACTACAGGGGCATCTCACTCCTCAGTGTGCCGGGAAAGGTCTTGGCAAGGATTATTTAACATCGCCTTGCCAGGCACGCTTAGGAGAGGCTTGCGGAGCCCCAATGCGGTTTCAAGAAAGGGCGGTCCTGCACAGATGCTATATTTTTCTGTCCGTCTGCTACAACAGAGATGTAGGGAATTCCAGCAAGACCTACATCTCTGCTTTATTGACCTGGTCAAGGCCTATGATACCATCAGTAGGCCTGGGCTCTGGGTTGTTCTTCGTGCTTTTGGAGTACCTGACCCTCTGCTCACGATCATTAAGGACCTTCATGATGGTGAGCGGGCCCGGGTAAAACTACGTGGCCGGGAGTCAGAGCAATCCCCAGTACACCTTGGGGTGCGACAGGGATGTCCTCTGGCTCCCACATTATTTAACATCTATTTTGACCACATAGTTCGTGAGGCCTTCAATAGCTGTACCGGGGGAATCTCCATATGGTACAGATATAATGGGAGGCTGATCGATGCCCGGGTGCGGTCAAGGGATGGCTCCCTATTGCTCAACCACGTTATGTATGCCGATGATTTGGTAATAACTGTTCATTCAGAGGAGGAGTTGGAGACGCTGCTGCTGAGACTGGAGCGTGCCACTAAGAGATGGGGCCTTACCATCAGCCCCACCAAAACTAAGCACCTGCCTGGGTATTTTGTACCATCAGACACTCCACCCCCACAACTCCCAATCGGTGATGGGGCAGTTGTGGAGAGAGTGGAGAGTTTCCCATACCTGGCAGTGTGCTCATGACCGGCTCCAGTTTAACAGCAGAGGTCTCACTCCGAATCAGTCGAGCGACATTATCTTTTCATCGGTTGCGTAACGCTGTGTGGAAGCTACCTGGTCTGTCGCTCCGCACTAAGCTTCAGGTCTTCACGGCCACGGTCATTCCCTCCCTTCTCTATGCTTGCGAAACTTGGACCCCCCTAATGGAACATCTTCGCCGGTTAGAAACGTTTAGGCTGGCCTGCCTACGATCCATCCTGGGTTTAACCAGGCTGGATTGTGTGAGGAGCTCACAAATCCTTGAAAGATCTGGGCACGGTCCCATCGGTGAGCTCCTCCGGCAGGCAAGGCTGCGTTGGCTGGGTCATGTAGCCCGCATGCCCAGCCACCGCATGCCGAAACAGCTTTTGTTCGGCCGGATCGAGGGGGCTAAACGGGCGCGGCACGGGCTAGAGAAGAGATGGAGTGACGTGGTACAGGAGGACGTGGAGCTGAGTGGACTTGCCGATGACTGGTACCAGCGGTGTCAAGATCGGCCTCTGTGGAGGAGGCTCGTGAAGGACGCTACTGGGCAGTTGGAGGCAGTCGCCCTCCAACAACAACGGAGGGCGGAGGAGCGACGCTCACAACAACGAGCAGAGCGCCGGGTGGATAAAGCACAGCAGGTTGCCACAGTAGGGGGCACAGGTGGTGCATCAGCCAGTCATCTCAGTCAGTCGACCCGTGGCACCTGGGTCTGCCCCGTGACCTCCTGCCAGCGGGCGTTCGACACTCCACGTGGCCTCAAGGTGCACATG